ATATGTGTAACTCACTTATGGTCAACAATGGGGAGGAACAAGCTGGCTGGAGTGATTGCTATTCACTGAGTTTGATGTACACGTATAGCTCTCTAGGCCGTTTTACTTTCTCTGTGTATCCCCTAGTCATTCAATGCAAGCATCTTTTTTTTTCTCTTCAGTGATGGGAAGTACTGATTTTCAGAGCATAAAGTGTTAGATCATGCTCATGTTTGGCATCATCAGATATTCTTGCTTTCCTCCAGTGGTCTAGGCACTAAATCTACAATTTAACAGACATTCATTGAGCCTCAATTATATACCATGTGCTAGCAATACCAGGATGCATAAACATGTTCCTTACCTTTGAGAAACTGAGTTCAATAATTATACTATGGTGCTGTGATAGAAGTATATGTCAGCAGAAAAAGGTGTAATAAAATTGAACATCATCATCACAATTCATTTAAGCTAAAAGCCCTATAAGATCTGTTTTTATTTGAGTTAGCTAAGAGGTTGGAAAGGAAAGAAGACACTATCTTATGATAATTTACTTTGCTGAAATCATGGTAGATAGATATAACATCTTGATATCTTTTGTATCCCTAAAATCAGATGCATCAGAAGATACACAAATCTCTCTCAACAAAAGATCAGAAAAAATGGAAGATATCCCAAAGCAATGTGAAAATATTCCCTCTTTGGTTGCATTTGAAAATCTCAAAGCAAATGTAACTGACATGATGCTAACCTTGTTGGTGGAGAACGTAAGTGGCCTGTCCAGTGATGATTTTCAAGTGGAAGTAATACGGAGATTTTGAGTTGGCGTAGTTACCTTTCGAAGATACATAGGTAAGATGAAGTGACCCTTCATGTTCAGTCTTCTTTGCACAGCACTTTTAGGATTTAGGACACCAAGCTAATGGAATGTCTCTAAAAGTTTGATTTCTATTAGCTGGTAAGAGAGGACTGCAAGTTAAAAAATCCTTTTTTATTTGAAAGAGAAGCAAGTTTGTTGTGAATCCAAATTATGGCATGTTTAATAAAGTAAATTTATTGTATGAATTTTGTATGTATGTGTGTGTATGTGTGTGTAAGAGAGAGAAACAGAGAGGGAGCGAGAGAAAGAGAGAGAGAGAGAGAGAGAGAGAGAGAGAGAGAAATCACACCCAAATGAAAATCTAAATGAAGTCCAAGGCTCTTAAAGTGATTCTGAACACAGGAGTGAGTGTTTTCACATGTTACCTCATTGAGAGAAGTAAATATTGATCTGTGTTACCAAATTGGACTTGAAGGTAATGATTATAATACTAGCAAACACTCAAATGCTGTTACTGTAAGTCAGGTACTATGCTAAGCTCTTTACATGTATTACTTAATTTTTTCCTTTCAACAACCTTTTGTGATGATTATTATTATTTCTCATTTTACACCTGAGGAGACAGAGGTGCAGAGATGCTAATAAATGAAGAACTGGATTTGAACCCTGGCAGCAGACCTCTATACAGCCTCTTCTGTTATCCCCTTTACCATATATCTTCTCTGTATTTTCAGCATCATCCACATATACAGGGAGAGTAAGTGCATGCGATGCAGAAAATGAGTGCTCTTTGAGGTCTGTGGGAAGAGTCTGTGAGTTGGAAGAGCCATCTCCAGAAAAACAGGGACATTTTCCAATTCCAAGTCCTCACTGTTCCATAGCTGAGGCAGTGGAATGGTTAATTAAGAGCACAGGTCGTGCCTTGCCCAGCTGGCTCACTTGGATGGAATGTTATCCCGTGCACCAAAAAGTTCTGGGTTTGATGTTGATGTTTTTCTCTCACATTGATGTTTCTCTCACTCTCTTCCTTCCTTTCTCTCTCAAGTCAGCAAAAACATATCTTGGGTGAGGATAAAAAAGATAGAGCAAGGCCATGAAGTAAATATTCTAGCTTCAACATTTAAGTAATTATCTGAGGTTGACCAAGTTACTATCCTCTGTGTGCTTTGCTTTCTTCACCTATAAAATGGGGATAAGAATACCTGCCTTATTCAGTTTCTGTGAGAATTAAAAAAAATAATGTTTGAAAAGCTCTTCACATCCTTCCTGGTAAGGACTCAATAAAGGGAGTTGTTCTGATTTCAAGTTTATGATTATTTCTCATAAAGGTAGAACTAGATGGACTTGCTTTTGTTTATTGAGCAAAGATTTTGAATGTATACTATGTGCACATGTCTAGGTGCTGTAGTAGTAATATGAGGTTTTGATGTTGCTGAGGTGAATAATTCTTGGTCCCTGCTTCTGAGGAACTCCTACAGGGCAGGGTGGAAACCAATACACAAGTGAACAGTGAAGATCAAGAGGAGAAGTTGCCTCCCTTAGCTGTGAATAGCAGGCTGTGGGCAATGGGAGGAAAGGGGACCCAAACAAGGCAGGGTGACTTTGCACTGCCTCCATCCTTCTATGAAGCTTAGACTCCTGCAGTACCAGGCTATCAGGTTCCCAATATACTATGTTCCATGCCACTGCTGTTCCCTCTGTCTGAAATGCTTCCTTCCTTATCTATCTGGTAAACTCTTCTTCATCCTTCAAAACCCAGACTGGTGACTACTTACCCTGGGAATCCTTGTCTGAGTGCCAATATTAGTCTTCCGGCCTCATTTGATAGCACAATAGAACACTTGTTTGCTTTCAAGACTTCCTCCCTCCTGGAAGGTGAATGTTCCAGAACTTGTTCTATTCATCACTCTCTCTCTCTCCCCAGCTCCTAGCACAGTGCCTGACACAATGTGGGTCCAGCATCAATATTTACTTATTTGAAAGATATAGTTGGGATGAGTCCTGAAGTTGCAATAGGACCAAGATTTAAAAAATTGGAGGAGGGCATTTCAAGCACAGGAAACCATATAAACAAAAGCAAAGGAGAATGGGTTTTCAGAATAATAACTAGTTTCTGTGGCAGTATGAAAATAAAATGAATGGCATGGAATAACTAGAAGTGATATTTAGAAATTAGTTTGGAGTCAAATAGCAAAGGACATATTTCACCTAGCTCAGGAGTGTGAACTCATGCCTGCAGGTAATGGGGAGCCATTGAAAGACTTGAGAAAGGGATGAAGTGAGGAGAGTTGAATAGTAGAGAGTACTCAGGTGGTTATATCAAGGAGGGCTGGAGCGGGCTGTCAGTGAAGGTAGGGAAACAACTCTGGTAAGACATTCATAGATGCATCATTGTTCAGAGACTGGGAATTTTTGGCAAATAAATTGCCTGCTCCACCCCCCGCCCAGGCCTGACGCCTCTGGCCCAGGCTTCAGGCCTGGACAGGGACCCCCATCTCCCTCCGATCGCCAGATTGGCCCCTTGCCCAGGCCTGACGCCTTGGCCAGAGGTGTCGACCCCCTTCACCCTCCAATCACCATATCGACCCCT